TCACGCTTGTTGGAACCCAGCCACCCCAAAGTTGCCCTCCTGCCATGTTCTTTCCCTCTGCTCTGAATAAACCCCTGTCTGCTTGCCTTCCACGGGCCACCCTCAAAGGTGGAAGCCTCATCCTATTCATTGTCCTGTTCCCTGTAGTGCCAAGTGTGTGCCTGTCCTGGGCGGCATGGAGAGCTGTCAACGTTGGTGGAGAGAATTCCTCCTCGGGCTATAAGTTGGCAGCGTGCTCACGCTTGTTGGAACCCAGCCACCCCAAAGTTGCCCTCCTGCCATGTTCTTTCCCTCTGCTCTGAATAAACCCCTGTCTGCTTGCCTTCCACGGGCCACCCTCAAAGGTGGAAGCCTCATCCTATTCATTGTCCTGTTCCCTGTAGTGCCAAGTGTGTGCCTGTCCTGGGCGGCATGGAGAGCTGTCAACGTTGGTGGAGAGAATTCCTCCTCGGGCTATAAGTTGGCAGCGTGCTGTAAGTCAGCCTTCAGCCAGGCGTGGGGAGAAAAGCTCAGTGTGGGACACAAGGAAGATGGAAATTAGCAGCAGGGGTGCCGGGCACTTGAGCCCAGAAAGTCAGGGGAAATGGCTCTTACCAGACTCTTCTTCCTTCATGGACTGCTCTATGGCAGCCCTAATGCAGAGCTCCCGGGCCCGGATTCCCGGGATGTTGCTGCCGTCGGAGATGGCTTCCAGCACGACGGAGTCAATGTTCAAGCAGGCTGCATTGTAGTATTTGGCTATGCTGACTGCAGTGGCTGATTTTCCTGCAAAAAAAGGGTCAGGAGGTTGAATTTCCTGGCTCTCAGCAGCTCAGTGTTCTAGACAGAAGAAGCTTCTAGAATGGAGACCGCTATAAAGTGATCTCTCCAAGTGCTTTGCCTTTAAGTCTCTAATGTGGCCAGATGTGGCAGCAGAAAACAGGCAAGACCAGATCCACATGGATTCTGGTTCTCATTCCACCACCAGTGCGCCATGCACAGCGTGATGGCAATGCTTAGCCTCTCTGAATTTTCTCCTCAGTTAAAAGGTGATTCGGTCATGATCTTTAAAAATTTTGTAGCTCTGGGGCACCTGGGTGGCTCAGTGGGTTAAAGCCTCTGCCTTCAGGCCAGGTCATGATCCCAGGATCGGCCCAGGTCATGATCCCAGGATCCTGGGATCGAGCCCCGCATCCGGCTCTCTGCTCAGCAGGGAGCCTGCTTCCTCCTCTCTCTCCACCTGCCTCTCTGCCTCCTTGTAATCTCTGTCTGTCAAATATATAAATAAAATCTTAAAAAAAATTTTTTTTTGTAGCTCTAAGGGTGCCTGGTGGCTCAGTTGGTTAAACATCTGCCTTCGGCTCAGTTGGTTAAACATCTGCCTTCAGCTCAGGTCATGATCTCCTGGTACTGGGATCGAGTCCCCTATCGGGATCCCTGCTCAGTGGGTAGTCTGCTTCTCCCTCTGCCCCTCCTCCTGCTGTTGAGTACCCTCTCTTTCTGTCTCTCTCTCTCAAATAAATAAATAAAATATTAAAAGAATTTTTTTTTTGTAGTTCTACTGTCTTTGATTCTAATGGGAAGACTTTTTGGTTTAAAGAGTAACTTGTGTGGATTTTTTCTCATTTCAAAATGTCTGCTCATTAAAAAGAAAGCAGAAAACACAAATAAACAGGAGAAAAGAAAAGAAAAAAGATCCACAATTTGCTCATCCAGAGATATTACAGTTAGTCTATGGCTGCTAAGTATGCATGTACAACTCATGTATTTATATTTCTTAGGAAAAAGAAACCTGCTCTGTGGTAGGCTGAACAAAGACCCCTCCAAAAGACATCCACATCCAAATGCCCGCAGCCTGTGGAAATGTTAACCTTAGGTGGTAAAGCCGCTTTGCAGTTGCAATTAAGTTAAGGATCCTGATACGGGAAATTATCCTCCTTTGTCTGGGTGGGCCCAGGGTAACCCCAAGGGCCCTTCCAGGAGACGAGCAGGAGGGCTGCTCAGAACAGGGGATATGATGGTGAAGCAAAGGAAGAGACACTTGGAAGACACTACAGTGCTGGTTCCCCCTCGCCCCAAGATTTATTTATTTATTTGCAAGAGAGAGAGAGAGAGAGAGAGAGAGAGAATGAACGTGAGCAGGGAAGATGGAGGGAAAGGGAGAGAATCTCAAACAGACTCCCTGCTGAGCGCTGAGCCAGTGTGAGGATGATCTCATGACCCTGAGATCAGGACCTGAGCTGAAATGGAGAGTCAGATGCTTAACTGACTGGGCCACCCAGGTGCTCCTATGATGCTGCTTTTCAAGACAGAGGAAGGGGCCCTGAGCCAAGGAAGGCAGCCGACATTTCTAGAAGCTACAAAAGACAAGGAAATGGATCCTCTCCTATGTGCCTCCGGCAGGAATGCAGCCTTCCTGACACATTTTAGATTTATGATCTTCAGAAAGGACATCAATTTATATGATTTCAACCTACTAAGTGTGTGGCTGCCTATCACAGCGGCAATAGGAAATTAATACAGATTGCAAATCCTAAGGATGACATTTTTTTCTCACTTAAAATGATGTGTCATAAATATCTTTCTATTCATTCAACACACTTCTATGGCACTTTGAAAAAACTGTGGTGATGAACACACAAAATTTACCATCGTGACCATGGGTACGTGTACGGGTAAGTTACATTAGTCCATTCACACTGTGGTGTGACCGTCACCACCATCGAGCTCCAGCACTTTCTCCTCTTCCCACATGGAAACTCTGTAGCCACCACACAATAAGCCCCCATCCTTCCCTTCCCCAGTCCCTGGAAACCACCACTCTCCTTTCTGTTTCTACGGGTCTGACTCCTTTAAGTACTTTATGTAAGTGGAATCATGCAGCGATTGTCTTTGGGTGATGATTTCACTTGGTATAATGTCTAAGTGTTCATCCATGTTGTAGCAGGTGTCAGGATTTCCCTCCTTTTTGAGGCTGAGTAATAGCCTATTGGACCACATTTCATGTTCCCATTCACCTGTCAATGGACGGTGGCACTGTTTCTAGCTTTTGGCCATTGTGAATAATGCTGCTATGAACATGGGTGCATGCGGCACTATTTTTAGTGGCAAATTAATTTACTCTACGGATGTACTGAGGCTTAGTTAACCAGTCTTCCGCACTGAATGCTTCAGTTGCTCCCAGTTTTTCATCACGGCAAGCGATGCTGCAGCGAGCAGCCATGCTGTTCATCTTCGTCCACGTCATTAAATATTTTCCCAGGATAAATTTATAGAAGGAACGTGGCCAGTTCAAAAGATTTGTACGTATTTCCCCCTCTCTTTTTAAATGATTTCATGTCTTGGATTTTTCTTTTATAGTTTAATGTTTTTAAATTATTGAAAGAATATAAGCTCAAACAAGGCAGAGATGTATTAATTAAAAATAAGGGGTCCCTGCTCTTTCTCTAACCCTGTATCTCTGACGTTGGCAATTGAGTAGTTTGGGGATAGTCCTGTGGTATATAAACTTCAAATGGAAGAGTCTTTCATTGTCTCAAAAATTACATGTGCGAACTTCACCATAAACCCTACAGGGGCAACCCTTCAGGGCCGTGCATACCGGACAAGGGCGTCCCATGGATGATAATGGCGATGCCTTTCTTGTTCTTGGATATGCGGCCTTCTGAGGAAATATCAATGCCCAGGTGGCGAGCGATCGCCTTGCTTACTGGATTGTTCTCGACTTCTCCAACTTCTTCTGTGGAGTGGCTGTCAATGCTCTGTAACTTGTCAGCTGCAAAGTAAAAATATACATGTGTAAGTAAGTGCATGTGGACATGCCTGGGATTCACAACGTCTGGTGGAAAGGGGAACAACTTTTCCTTTCTTCGACGCTTTTGTTTTACAAATCACCTGCTGCAAGTGTTCTCACTCCCTCACGTGGCAGTGCCTTTTTTGGCTAATAGTTTGTCCACAACCACTAGAATTAAAATATACTCTCTGACTGCTAACTCTATTTTGGGGGAATGTGCCCTGCTGAAAAAAATGATACTAGACACTAGCTGAATTTGCAGCATGACAGGAAATGGCTGAATAAATATGATGGCATATTCATACGCAGAATTAACACCCAGCAGGGCTAGAAGGCTTGCGGGTGCATTTCCGGGAGAAAAGTGAAGAGGTACTGGACAGTCTTCCCAACTCTGCATAGGGAGAACTGTTACCAAAATATTAAAATGCTTGTTTACTTTGAAACATGATTTTTTCCAGGCTCTCGTCATCTTCCTCTTCATCTGGGTAGGTCTTGGACTCGGCCGTGGGAAGGTGCCGTTCTTCGAGGTTGGATGTGACTGAGATCCCTTGGCTCAGTGAGGTCCTCTTTGTACTGGCTGAGGTTCCCAGATCAGATGACAGCCCGTCTTCCTCTTCTGTGGGAGAGCCAAGGACGCAAAAACACATGTGGAAGAGTTGGGAGGGGGAGAGGGGCGATGGGGACACAAAATGAAAGAGAGACAAAGTGGAGAATCACTGACCCGGACACCATCACCCTGGACTAGCCAACCCCAAGAAATGAGAACGGCAGTCGGTTGGCTGTTAAGAACTTTCCCTGCCGAGTGTTTCTACATTTTAACATAAAAAAAAACCCCACAAAAATTATACAGTTGTTTCAGGGAATTTAGAAAATTCATAAGAGTAGGAATTATAAAATTCATCGGTGAAAGAGATGGAAAGACAAAGAAATGGTGATTGCAACTGCATTTCATGACACCAGAACAGGAGAGCTCCAAGTTCTCAGACTGTTCCTTTCTCATTTTTTCAAAGCTGAACTTGGGATTATAGTGTATATCCCAATTGTAGTCTGTTTTCCCCCTTAACGTCTCATGAACATTTGTCCATGGTCTTGCTAAGAACATCTACCATTTTGCCTGCCCAGCGCCCTCCCCACTGGCACTATCTCACAATTCCAATGGGGATATTGGGCTGTGATTGCACAAAATGGCCCCCTCTCTCCCCGGGGGGGGCGGGGCGCAAAACACTGATCCTGGGAGGCGTGGGGCATTGACATCTAAGGCAGAGAGGTCGGAGCTCTCCTGTGACTGGCCTTGCTGGCCATGGCGTGGGAAGCAGGGAGTACAGTCTGCACGTGAGAGCAGAGGGAGCAGAGGCTCAGAGAAGCCCTGGGGAAAAGCAGAGTATGCACCTGCCTGGTCCCCTCTGGCCCCCTGGGTCCCTGTTCTCCGCCACCTTTCAGTGGGCCAAATGAAAAAATGAACCTGTCACTGTACTGTTGTAAGGATGGGGACGAGAGTGACAGGGCCCTTCTCTGAGGTCATGATGCCTTTGTACCTGGCAGCCCCTGCAGCTGTCTACCCCCGTGCCCCCCACCTCCATGACAGTGGGTTTGAGTGTCAGTGTCTGTCCTCCCACCTCCTTCCTGACCATGGGGCTCTCAAACACAGGGTCTTATTTTATTGATCTGTTTACCACACTTCAGCTCCATTCTTGGAACATACATCGTGACAGCTTGTTATAGGCTTAATTGGTTCCCCTAAAATTCGTACATTGAAATCCTAACTCTCCAATACCTCAGAATGTGACTTTATTTAAAGCGGCAAATAACGTTAAAATGAGGTCATATGGGTGTCCTATTCCATCCATACTCCAGTATGACTGGTGGTCTTTAAAAGGAGATTTGAACAGACACCCAGAGGGAAGACCATGTCAACACTGGGGGACGATGGCTATCTACAAGCCGAGGAAGGAGGTTCAGAAGAAAACAACCCTGCTAACACCTTGGTCTTAGACACTGAGCCTCCTGTAGTGCGAGAAAATAAAATTCTGTTGGTTAAGCCCCCAGTCTGTGGTCTCCATGATGGCACTTCTAGCATCTGAGTACCAATAGTGCTCAGTGACACGACCGGGAGAATGCGGGGAGAGGAGGTCTTCTCTCATCTTTGTCCTAAAAGGACAAACTAGTATTCTCTGATCAGCTTCCTTGAGAGGCAAGATAAGCTCAAGGGTGGGACAAATGGACTTTATTCAGTTCTTTCATTCGCCCTGACAGCACATATTTATTGGGCACTAAGATGGGGAACGTGTGATCGCTGCCTTTATGGGGACTTCTCATTTGGGGGGGCAGACGGGCACGAAGAAAACAATTACACACACGATGAGTGTTACACAGAGAAAGAGAGCGAATAACAGCAGGGAGGGCACATTTCCGGGATGAGCATGGAAAGCAGGAAGGAGAAGCATGCATCATGCTACAGGTCATTCAGGAGTCTTGAAGGTCAAGTGCACACAAGAGAGCACCATGGGTGTATGATGGGGTAACTCAGGGACAGTGGGCCAGGAAAGAGTACATTATAAGAGCACAGTCAAGCTTTTTAATTGGGATTTGGCCTTGAGGACCATGGAGGGCCAACCTCTTCCTTGTGTGAACCCCCACTCCCTACCTCTTTTAGGGCACCAAGCTATACCCTGTGGGATGTGTTACTGCATCTCCTGGGCACACACAGAAGCTGTGGAACACTGTGGTTACCACCATGGACTCTGGAGCCAGAGAGATCTGGGCTCAAATCCTAATTCTACCCCTTCAAACTGTGGACCTGGCCTGTCAGTGCTTTAGTTTCTCATCTCTATGTGTAAAGCCCCCAGCACGGGGCTGGGTATCTAGCACGTGTTCTTCTATACCTATATCACTTATCATTTAAATTAAATTTAATATATCCTGTATTATTGGTTTCAGAGGGAGAATTCAGTGTTCATCAGTTGCATAGAACACCCAGTGCTCATTACTTCAAGTGCCTTCCTTAATGCCTGCACCCAATGTTTTGAGGTCTTAACTCCTCGCTAGACTCTACAGAGAGGAGAATGTACTCCTGTCTCCACTTCCATGCAGCAGGGATGACAGGCCCATTCTGGGAGGGTTAGAAACAAAATCTGTGAGGCACCTAGCACAGGCCTGGCTGGCCTCATAGGACGGACACCTCTGGGGCACCAGGATGGGGGCTGAAGCCGGGCTCTTGGCACTGAGCTCTCACCGTTTTCCTGGACCAGACTCTCCAGATACTTGGCCTTCATCTGCTCTTCTTTCGACCGCTTCATCTCCTTAAAGTACTCGTACAGCTCTGGGGGCAGCTTGTCCCCCGGAAGGCGGGGGGGCAGCAGCAGCGTGTTATAGGAATCGTAGCCTTTCAGCGTTCGCAAGACCTGCAAGAGGAGGAGGGTGACGGCTGTTGGCTGGCTGGACACTTCCTCCTCACAGCCCTCATGGGGTCTGCGGACCCACCTTGTAAGACCTTGGCTCCTGCCTGAGGCGGGGGTGTGTAGCATGGGCCTTTGGGGACGTCTAAAAAGAAAGTCTGGGCCCGGAATCTGGGGATATAAGATCTTGAATTTTGCCCCATTTGAGCCTGGGCATTTCACATGTGGGAGAGAATTTTCCTCTTGTTTTATAAATAACGTATACTCTTTTTTTTGTTGTTTTTTTTTTCCCTTTGACAAAAGTACAGAGCTCCATTATCCACTCTGAGGGACATGTTCTTGAAAATTCCTGTGGGGAGCAATGTTAGACGAGGAAGGCGGTTGTCTCATAAATAGATGATCCAGGGAAAAACCGGTAAAATGGTATTAAGTATGTGTATGCATGAATGTGTTGGGGGGATTGTGGGGGTAGGGAGGGAATGTGTTTTGGGGTTGTTACATGAAATATGGGATGCGCAGTTTAATCTGAATTACAGATAAACAATGAATAATTTTTTTTAGTATAAAAATGTCCATGTAAAATATGTCCTATGTTTTTTTATCTGAAATTCAAATTTAACTGTGTAACTTGTTTTTCTTTCTGCTAAATCTGGTAACCTTAGTGTGTATGTATATTTATAAGACACAGTACAATAAAGTTCTAGAAAGCATTAGCTTCCTATATGGCCTAATTTACACGAAAACTCTGTTTTGTTGAGTAACCTTTCCTTCTCTAGGATCACTGTTTTTAGTTGTGTGAAAACCACTATTAAGAAGCTCATTCTAGGGTCCCCTGGGTGGCTCAGTGGGTTAAGCCTCTGCCTTCAACTCAGGTCATGATCCCAGGGTCCTGGGATCGAGCCCCGCATCGGGCTCTCTGCTCAGTGGGGAGCCTGCTTCCCTTCCTCTCTCTCTGCCTGCCTCTCTGCCGGCTTGTGATCTCTGTCAAATAAATAAAAATCTTTACAAAAATAAAAATAAATAAAAAAAGAAGCTCATTCTAAAATTTATATGGAAGAATAAAGAGCTAAGAATAGTTGAAACGCCTGAAATTAATATAATCATGTATGTTAATTATACTTGAATATAAAAAATGATAAAAAAAAAGGAAGAAAGAAAGAGTTAAGGCACCTGGGTGGCTCAGGGGGTTAAGCATTTGCCTTCGGCTCAGGTCGTGATCTCAGGGTCCTGGGATCGAGCCCAGTGTTGGGCTCCTTGCTGAGCAGGGAGTTTGCTTCTCCCTCTCCCTCTTGGCGCCCCACTCTGCTCATGCTCTCTCTTTCTTTCAAATAAATAAATAAAATCTTAAAATAAGAAGAGTGTTAAAACATTAATGAAGAAGAATAAAGAGAGAGGACTTCCCTACTAGATATAAGGACTTTTGAAGGTGGGTTAACAGTCAGCGTGGAAATGATATTGGGGTAGACTAACTGACCAGAGACGATATAGAAAAGAAGGCTTAGAATAGATCCATTCACATATGGCACTTTGATACAGGACAGAGCTGGCATGGCAGGTCAGTGGGGAAAGGAGAGAACATTCCAAAGACGAGGTGATGCAGACACACAAAGGCCTGGCCAGCTGGCTTCAGCTGGGGCAATTCTGAAGAGCGGGCCCAGCTCCGGAGCTCCCTGTGGGGTCCGCCGAGGTCTCTGCTATAATCCCATCACAGCTCACCTCTCTGACCAGGTCTGCTCGCCTTATTGTTTCCTGGTATTGCTCCCGAGAGTGCTCCTTATGAAGCCTGCCGCACGTCTCAGGGCCTTTGTTTCGCCTTTCCCTTGAACCTGGCACACAGCAGAGGATGTGGGGCCAACAGAAGCCACTGAGCACTTCATGAATACCTAATGAAAAGACTCCTGTCTACAGGGACAAATTCCCATTCTGAGAGAAACTTCTAGATGCAGAATCTAAATCAGGCAGAGCATAAACACTAGATGTAAAGAAGACAGAAGACAAACAGGGTGAGTTGGGGGAAGGTCCCGAGGAAGCAGAACCATCTTAGCCAAGCCATTCCTAAATTTCTGACCCACAGACAACATGAGATAACAAATGCTTGTTGTTTTAAGTTGCTAAGCTTGGGAGCAATTTGTTTTGCAGCCGTAGATAACGAATTAATATACAACAAAAAACTAAGCATCAGACTTCATGAGCAGCATAGGAGAAAACGATGAAGCAACGCATTTAAGATATTCAAGTGCAAACTGAGCGAAAGGTATTGTAACCAACCAAAACTATCTTCAAGCATAAAAGCTGCAGGTGAATAGTTACACCAGGCATGTACTCAGGAAATAGCGCTCCTGTGAGCCCCTCCTGAGGAATCCACTGCAGATCACACAGAGGTGACTGGAGAAGTTTCATCACAAGTTTCCTCAGTGCTGGACACTGAACACACATAAATACAGAACTAAGACTAAGTGATAGAAAGTAGGTTCTGACATCCTAATGCTGTAAGCTCTGACATGACAGATACGATACAAAAAGCAAAACATGGAGTGAGTGCACGTGACATGATTACCCAGTAAGCATTAATTGAGAAGAATATCATTTTAAGTTAGAGGGTGGTGAGGAAAGAGAAAAAGAGATTAGTAGCTAATTTCATAGCTGCTCACAGTAGGGAACTAAGAAGCAGTCTCTAACAGGTAGAGTACTAAGGGTATTAGATAAAGGGATAGTTTATACATCCTAGCCTCAAGGTAGTGGAACAGGGCGGAGATGGTAAGAACAGACCCAGCTAGATCAGTGGAACAGAACAGAGATCTAAATAGACCCAAGTGACCTGTCCAGTGACCTCTGGCAAAGGGGCAAATGAAATGCAATGAGCAAAGATAGTTTTTCCAACAAACAATGCCAGACCTGGACATCCAGATGCAAGAAGCACAAATCTAGATGGATGGGACATCTTTTACAAAGCTTAAAATGGATCAAAGGCCTAAATGAAACACATACGGCCATAAAACTCTTAGAATGTCCCTTAAGAGAAAATCTAGATGACCCTGGGTGTGGTGACAACTTTTTAGAAACACACCAGAGGCAGAGTCCACGAAAATAATAATTGATGAGCTGGACTTCATTAAAATTAAAAACCTCTGCTCTGCAAAAGACAATGTCAAGGGAATGAAAAGACAAGTTATAGAATGGGAGAAAATATTTGCCAAAGATACGTCTGATAAATTTGTTATTCAAAATATGTCAAGAACTCTTAAACTGCAACAGAGAGAAAACAAACAACTGGATTAAAAAATGGGCCAAAGACCTTAACAGACACCTCGCCAAGGAAGACAGATAGACGGCAAATAAGCCTATGAACAGATGCTCCACCTCAGAGGTCAGCAGGGAAATGCAAATCAAAACAAGGCAGGCTGCATACCTATCAGAATGGCCCAAACCCGAAACACTGACAACATCTACTGCCCGTGAGAATGCGGAACAACTGGAACATTCACTCACTGCTGGTGGGAAAGCAAGATGGTCAACCACTTTGGAAGACTCTCTGGCAGTTTCTTATAAAACTAAACATACTCTTACCGTATGATCCAGCAATTGTGCTACTTGGTACTTGTCCAAAGGAAATAAAAATTTATGTCCACACAAAAATCTGCACATGGATGTTGACGGCAGCTTTCTTTATAATTGCCCAAACTGAGAAACCACCAAGATGTCCTGCAGTAGGTCAGTGAATAAAAAAACTGCGATGTCCAGACCATGCAATATTATTTAGTATTAAAAGAAAGAGCTATCAAGCTATGGAGGAAACGTATATGTATATTAGTAAATGAAAGAAGCCCATCTGAAAAGGTATGCTGTATGACTGCAATTATATGACATTCTAGAAAAGGCCAAACTATGCGGATAGTAAAAAGATCAATGGTTTCCAGGGGTTGGGAAGAGGGAGGGATGAGTAGGAGAACACAGAGGATTTTTAGGGCAGTGAAAATACTCTGTATGATACTGTCATGGTGGATACATGTCATTAGACATTTGTCCAAACCCACAGAATGTACAACACCAAGAGTGAACTCAAACGTAAACTGTGCATTTTGGGTGATTATGATGTATCAACGTAGATTCATCAATTGTAACAAATGTACCATGTTAGTCGGAGATGTTGATAATAAGAGGAAAGTTTGTATGTGTGGGGGGCAGGGTTATATGGGAAATCTCTGTAACTTCCCCTCAATTTTTTTTTTTTAAAGATTTTATTTATTTGACAGAGAGAGAGAGAGAGATCACAAGTAGGCAGAGAGGCAGGCAGAGAGAAGGGGAAGCAGGCTCACTGCTGAGCAGAGAGCCCGATGCGGGGCTTGATCCCAGGACCCTGAGATAATGACCTGAGCCGAAGGCAGAGGCTTAACCTACTGAGCCACCCAGGCGCCCCTCAATTTTGCTGTGAACTTAAAACTGCTCTAAAAAATTAAAAAAAAAAAAAAGTACATGGAGGAACAATTGGAAAAAATGTAGCCCAGAACAAACAGAAAAAAAAAGGGGGCAGATTTAAGCCCTGAAATTAATTTTATTAAATGTAAATGGTCTAAATATACCAATTAAAAACAGAGACTACCAGAGTGTATTTTTTTTTAAAATCTGATTACATGCTGTCAACAAGAAACTCACTTCAAATACAATGATTGCTGCTTACACTCTTTACTGTTTGAATTTTAACCATGAGCAATAATTAGTTTTTCAATTAGTTGTTTAAAATGTGTAATGAGATCACAAAGAAGCAACGAATTCTAATCACAGCAAGGGAAGGAGGTCAAGAAAGGCACAAAGTGATACTTAAACTGACAAGGAAGGGTTTAAGGGGAAGAAGGGGCGAAGGTCAGGAGGAAGTTGTCCACATCAGGGGAAGAGCACCAGTACAGGGTAGGGCCCAGCACAGGGAGGAAAATGAAATTTGGTTTTGGCCTCTGCTCACCTTCTCTTCTAAGAGATACTGCTGGTCAAATTCTAAGGAGTAAAACTCAATGGGAAAGCTGCAGGGATTCTTCACCACCACCTCACCCTCATCTCCAGGTGCATAAGGCAGCAGAGGCCCCAGCTCCAGAACTGAAGGACTAAATTCCAAGCGTGGCTCTAGACCTTGCCCCTGTGCCAGCAGCATAAGCTTCTGAGCACTCTGCGAAATCTGGAACACCAGGGTTTGGCTGTAGAATTTCTGGAAGACATAAAAACAGAATAAGCATCTTAACTTTGTTTTTTTGTCACATGCAATGTAAACCTGGAAACCACGTGGGGACAAAACTGATGCTACTGACATTAAGAGAGGACATTTTTTATGTAAAATTGCATGAGAACAATTTATAATTCTGCATTCATACTGGGTATCCAGCATGCCCAGCATTGTGACAAGTGCTTCATCACTCATAGAAGGCCCTTTAGATGCCACACTCATCCTTCAGACTCTCCACTATCTGTACCTCTGCTCTCATGTCATGGGCCCTGCTGCATGTGGGCAGGGCAAGGCAGAAGTACTGGGATTAACATCTTCTGGAAGCAATCCTCAACCAGTGACTAAGGAACTACCACATAAACACCTCAGTTTCCTTGCTCCTGGGAAGGGGTAGTTCTGAAATGTGCATTTTGTCCATTTCCTCAGGGTATCCCAGTAGGATTATGTTCCAGTCTCCAAGGCAGCTGGCTCACTCGCACACCTTATTAGCTGCCTTCTTTTCCCCAACCACCTTTTACTTCTCCATCAGTGTTTCCTGCACTTCTCAGTTAATCTGCTTGCACTTGAATCCTTGTCTCCAAGTCTGTTTCTGGTAGATTCTGAATGAACATATTTCTGTTATTTGAAAATACAGTTAGGCAGCGGGTCAGGGATGGTCAGCTGGGGTATTCAGTTTATCAGTTATAATTACAGTCTGAATACCAATTGCTAGGGATAGCAACTATCCTAATCTGGTTTTACTAGGGAACCTATTAAAAATGTGGATTCACAGGCCCATCCCTAGAGATCCTGACTTGACAGGGAGAGGGAAAGGCTGGGAAATCTGCATTTTTTTTTAAAGATTTTATTTATTTGAGAGAGAGAGACAGTGAGAGAGAGCATGAGCGAGGAGAAGGTCAGAGGGAGAAGCAGACTCCCCATGGAGCTGGGAGCCCGATGTGGGACTCGATCCCGGGACCCCAGGATCATGACCTGAGCCAAAGGCAGTCGTCCAACCAACTGAGCCACCCAGGTGTCCCGGAAATCTGCATTTTTAACCACATGCCCAGGTCATTCTGATATAGTTAGGCTCATGGCTTGGGTTGGGAGAGCATGACTGGCTTCACAATTTGAAGAGTTTCTAAGAATCTTAGCTCAAGAAGGAAAATCAGATGGATAGAATGTGGATGGACATAGATTCACACCCAGAAAATATTGTTGGAGACAATAAGAGAATGAATTATTGGCTAAAAGGTTTTCTTATGTAACTATGGACTTAGCACCTTTTGATTCAAACTTCTATATTTTGATTGCTTTTTATGGAAATATTTCTAAGACATTTTATTCATTTCCTTGTTTTCTAACGGAGTATTCTGAACATCTGGTATAACATCCGTGATTTCTCCTGTAGTGCTGATGCTGAAGGAGACAGAGATGTGGACTGTGTGGGTTGCAAGGCTAATCAATTTCTTGCGTATTGCCAATAAATTGCTCTCCCAGTTGGTGGAAACATTTTATTAACTTTGACCTGTTCCAACTCAATGTTTATGGAACCACCTGAATAGATCTATTTTTTTTTTTTTTACTTATTTACTGATATGTCCCTCTTTTAGTAAAGTACCACAAATCTTGGCAACCCTGATAATAAAACCCCTAAAAGTCTTAAGACTCTAAGAATGACAAACATATTAATTCTCTTTTCTTTTCAAAGACAGGGTTGGGGAGATTTTGATAATGAAAGAAGCAGGGGCTTTATTTTAGAATCAGATATAAAGTCATTTGCTTTTCTTCTTTCTCTCTGTAGAGTCTACAGCATTTCTTCAAAGCATTTCCATTACCAGGAAAATGGGCATTAACTGTAGGCGTTCTATAAAACCTACATCGATTTTCTTCTTTTAAAAGAATAAAGGAGAGAAAGCCATTTCCCTAATGCCTTAAGCTTTGAGCACAAGTCTTTACAGGGTAACCCCTTGAGATCCTCTCTGGCTGGAGGATTTTATTTTTACTCTGTTTCTTTGCTCGGAGTAGCTTTGTGCTAATGGTATTCAAAAAAGAAATGCCTACGAGGCCCAGGGAGTACATCCACCAGGAAGTACTTCTTATTATTCTAACGACCAATGACAACAGTAAATAGTTATTGAGATACTTACTACGTGGAGAGCCTTTTGCTGTGAGTTTTATTCACATTAATTCATTAATCTTCAAAATAACCCTAGGAAGTAGGTATGGCTGGTTGATACTGTCTTAACTGAAACCCTACGAGCAAGAAGCTTTCAAATTCAGATTTTTAAAAGGTAAAGATAATGTACAGACTCTCTGTTATATAATATCCTCCACGGGGGCTGGGGGAGGCCCCCTAAAAATCAGACACTAATATTTCCGCAGCTGCAATGTTTGAGTCCGCAAACTAAGTGGGATAAATAAAGGTTAAGTAGTCTCCTGTCAGTTCAGATGAGGTTTTTTCCACCAAATGAGTTTGGGTCTGAAACTTATGAAATTTTTCCCCCTGGTTTCTGGAGCTTATTGGATTTTAGAATTGCAATAGGGGATTTTTGACATGTGGTATTATTTTTCATTTTATCTATGAGCAGACTGAGGTTTAGAGGCGAAGAGATTACTCAAAGCCGCACAGCCTCCAAGTGCAGAAGCAGAAGGCCACTCACCCAGGTCTGCCGATAAAAGCTGACATGCTAGATAGATCCGATTCTGGAGCCGGTGCTCTTAACTACCCAGTCACACGGCTCCTACATGAAGCAAGTACTTAATGTCCTTATCACAATACCAAAGCCAAGGTCACTCAGATTCCCTGGACATCAGCCTCATCAAGTGGGCCTTTGAGGAAAGCTCAAAGAAACCCAAAAAGTCTGAATGGCACCACATTTCTTTAAAGCTTACCTCTTCTTTAGGCATGAATTTCACTTGCACATTGGACTTCTCCCCAGGATCCAAGACCCCAGACATGGGCTGGATCTCAAAGATGCGTGTCTTAGGCTTTAATTCAGCATGGAGTTTCCGTCTTAAGTATTTTGGCATATGTTTCTCCAGCTGGTTAATAGATATTAGACAATTAGATCATCTACTATGGAAAACAGATTTATTCCATACTCCACTCAGTCGGCCTACATTTACTGAGTCCCTCCCAGCTGTCAGGGAATGGGTAGATACCAGGGCTATAGAGATAAGTAAGACATCCCCCAGACAGCATGGCCTGGGAAGTCCTTGAATGCAGGGCTAAGGGCTTAGATTGTATTTAGGAAGCAGCGGTTGTCACTCTAGGTCTCGAGCCGACGACTGAAATAATGAAAGTGTGAAGGTCTCGAATCATGATTCTGGCCAAAATGGAGATGGAAGAAGCAGACTGATGGGCCACAACCCATTTACCTTGTTAACTGGCTTATGGCTGTGGATGAACCATTCACAAGGGACTTGGAGAGGATTAGAAAACTGAATAGTTTCCACGAGGCACTGTCCACACTGAACTGTGGCAAACTCCACTTTCCCACAAGACAGTGTCATAGTGGGAATGGTCACCTTGGCTTGGAGACAGATGTGAACTGTTGGTCCTCCGGTCACCTAGAATAGGCATAAAGCTGGTGTTACCACGTGGCATGGGGTTGGGAGAAGACTTGGGGCTCTGAAATGGTAACTGGCTCATTCTAGGGGTAACGGTAGCTGGGGATGACAAGCTGGGCCCTGCATTGAGTCGTACCTTGATGGGTAAGATGACCTCTTTGTTTCCAACAGGAAGACTGGCTCCTTGTGGGTCAAATTTGATTTCAAATGTTTCCGTTTCACAGTAAGGGAGATTCTTTACACGATCTAACTCAGTACTGAAGCCTAGACCAAGATAAACAACATATCTTTGCGGGAAAGAAAAAGAGCAAACAAGCGCTGCCATAGGTAGAGTCCTTCTGGGGCAGGATGACCGTTCCAAGTCTCAGTTAGTGGGCCAAGAATTCTTTCAGCTGATCCCAGAAAAAACATGAACACAATTCCAGCAGAACAGTACAGCTGGGCACCTTGTTAGAAATGACAAAGGCAAGAGGAAAATGTCTCCCTAGCTTGGTTACCTGTATCATGAAGGACACGCTTTTCTGCATGGAAGGACACTGGGAAGTGACTGGTGTTGGTGATCTTGATGATATGTGTCCGGACGTCACCAAGGATGATGTAGCCAAAATCCAGGACATACTCTGGCAGCTGGACTCTGAAACAGTTAACGATCTCTCTTTACCAGTCACTTTTCCAAAACAGAGATTGTGCTGTTCTCTTCTATCTCTTGTCACAATTTTGTCCTTGGTAATGGAGAAGAACCACCCTCCAGAGAGAAGACTAGGAACAAGAAGCTCCCCCATGCCCAGGAGTCCATACTGCTGTTTCAGTCATTATCTCAAAACACATTTGGCCTAGGCCCTCATGAACCTGAAACCCAGCCTCTCCATTAGGCAAAGCCAGAGGTTTCTGACTTTCAGAGGCACAGACCTTCCTGGTTGGCTGGATGCTGGAGGATGGCAGATACAGGAGGTGAGTAGATTTCATTTCTAGATGACCAACCATCAATTAACTCAGGCTGCACTCTGGTGGGTGACACCGTTTGCTCTGATGCCCTCTGAAACAGGCCCCAAACAGAACGACACTCACTTGGCTAGTTTTTGACGACTCCGATAGCTCAGGTCATCTGCAGAATCGGGGATAATTGTTTTCTGATGTTCTATGGCGTAGCTTTGGACTATAAGTCGCTCTACCTCCATCTGGAGCTGAGGACTTAACTGGAGTAGGAAAGAGCAGCAAGTGAGCAAATTCTTCTAGAACATGCATTCTCAATGGGGCAAATCATCTCTAAGAGGGAAAGAATTGCTTCATGGAAGGGGGGGGATGAAAAAATTTTAGATATTACAGTGATTTGTGGCCTTCCAAAGGGCCACAATACATAAACAGATATACAGTATATCTGTGGTATTGCAGTTTCCATGCGGGTGGTGGAGGGGGCGGTAAGCAGGCATGTCCACACCATGGAATTGTCCTCAATAATGGAAAGGAAAGAACTATCGATATTGATGGATCTCAAGGGCATGACACTCAATGAAAAAGGTTACACACTGAATGATTCTCTTTCCATAACATTCTTGAAATAATGAAAGTATAGAAACAGAAAACTACAGTGGTTGCCACGGGTAAGGAAAAGGAGATTGGGGCGTGGCTATGAAGAAGTAGCTTGTAAGGCCAAATACAAATGAAAGATAAGAGGTTGGATTCTCCTTATTGAAAATAAGGGGAGAGACTTCTTCCCACTCCCTTTTCTTAGGACAAATTGCTTCAAAAGCTTGTGAGTTCTTTCTCTGTTTTTCTGAAATACATATAGATCTTCTTAAAGCCTACTGACTCTGGTCAGCTTTATAACCCAGCAGTGTCTTCCTCAAGGCCCGGGGAACCTTCTCTTCAAAATGTGATCACCAGGTAAGATAGAGGCCCCATCTCCCAGTTTCTGTGAGAGGCTAGGAGCCTGACTTCAGAGAGCCCTATCCTGCAAACATGAGAGGTTTCCCTCTGGAAAAAGCCGATTTTCTAACACAGAGGGTCACCCTGATTACCATGTGAATTCAGGATGAATGATGTATGACAGGTGGTGCTGTCAAGTTCTCTTACTTGAGGACTAGTTATAGTTAGTTATAGTTCTTACTTAAGGGCTAGTTAGTGTTTACCTCGAGAACATGTATATAAGAGGTCATATGTTTGGTTATATAAAAGGCTGAAATTTCTTTCTGTCTTTGCAATCTCTTAGTGGACGGTCTATAATGTGGATCACAACCTGGTTTAATGCTTATTCAACAATAAAATTGTTTTCTTTCTCTTCTCCCTCTGTGGGGAGATTCTCTCGGTTGGAAGGAGATTTTGTTTTTAATTCTATTTCCTCAAGCACAAGGGATCTTTGTGGTGGTGGAACAATTTTGTACCTTAATTGTGGTAGGGGTGACAGAAACCTACATGTACAAAAAAATTACGTGGAACCACACGCACAAATGAGCGCAAATCAAACGGAAATCTGATACGCTCTGTGGCTTGTACTGATGACCATTTCCTGGTTTTCATATTGTGGTACCATGTCTTACAAGTTATGTAAGATGTTACATTTGGGGAAAATAGTTTCTCTTTGGCCACATCCTGTGAATCTATAGATATTGCAAAATAAAAAGTTAAAAAATTTTATTGTCAAAGTGTTCAAAGAGGTTTTTTTTTTTTTTTTTTTTTAAAAAAAAATAATACTATTTCATGGTGGGGGGGGGGTTAGGAAAAAAAAAAATGTCCTGGGAGGTGAGAGTGAAAAAAGACTGAGAAATACTGTTCTCGAAGACTCGCACCTTAGGTCTGGGGCCAAGCGGGAAGGTTAATGTGTGGAGGGGCCCGTGAGGAGACCAAGGGACGCGATGAGATCTGGGAGAGGCGCATGTGTCACCGACAGGTGTGTCCAGTCATCTCGATGCAAGCAAAGCCCACCCTATGCTTGTTCGGAGCCAGGAGAGGTGGCCCCGCTACCTTGGGCCCGAGGACGAGCTCGCTCTGCCGGGGCCTTCAGCCGGTTCTCAGAAGCTCCAGCCCGGAACTGGAGGGGCCGCCAGAGATGGCGGGGCTAAGGCTCCGCAGAGGAGCCACCGGGCAATGTTGTGAGCAGAGTGGAGACGTGCTGCTGTCCTGTATGGACAGCTGGGGGCCCCAGGGGACAGGACAGAGGCTAAGAACACAGTCCTCGGAGTCGGACAGGCCTGGATTCAGAGCCTAGCTTGGCTGCCTGCCTGGGGACCTGCACCTCACTTCCACAAATCCTGTCTCACTGTGAAATTGAGACAAGAGTGGCACCGTACGGCTCCCTACCACCATGGGAGGGGGCAAATGAATGCAGGTCCGTAGGGTGACACAGGCTTGGGCAACATTCAGTAAATAGTAGCTCATGTTATTAATTATGATTGTCCTTGGAGCAAAGGTGCACTCAAAGTTTCAGCAAAGCAAGCCATCACGGGTGGCCTTTGGGGCTCCCTGTCTCCCCAGTGACACTGCTCTTCCCCAGCCTAAGGGCTCTGCAGCTAGCTTCATAAGTAACTCTTCCCTGGGACGATATTCTCATGCACATTTGCATTTTAAAAGATGAGCACAGGGAGAAAGCAGCCTTCATGGTGAGGAATGGACTGTTGAGAGAAGCATTTCAGGGAATAGTGAGGGAGAACATTTTGGGATTTTTGCTCTTACTTCCTCCCACAAGGGCAGCCTTTATTTATATGCTGGGTCACTCTCTACCTCAAAAGACCAACTCCTGGCTGGGCTCCCACCTCGGAGACACCATGCTGAACCTCTTTAGCTGTCCCTGCCCCCACTTAGCTGCTGGAGACCAGAGGCTCTACTCTGGATCGATGCTCTCCCTTGCTCACTTGGTACACTTCCCAGGAAATCTCACCCTTTCCTGTGATCACAATGACCGTCTGGTGACGCAGAGCACTTTCTCTAGCCTCTCTCTCTCCTCAGGTCCTGAGTTTCCCATCTCAGTGGGTCACCTCTGCCTCACCCCCACATCCAACCAATCCCTAATCACTGACCATTCCACCCCCAGAGTATTTCTTGAACCTACCAGAGTTTCCCTACCTCCTGTGTCATCACCCTTGTTGACACGACCACTACCTCTCATTTAGAGTTACCCCATCAGCTTCTAAGAAACTGAGCACACCTCAGCACATCTGTTCCCATCCTCCGCAGGCCCCTGAGAGCTTCTCTGAGCTCCACAGGGCAGCCAGAGAGATTTTTTAAAGATGCAAATCTGATTATCCAAGGCTCCACTTGAAACACTTCAGTGACTTGCTGTTGCCCTCAGAATAAAGTTCGAAACCCTTAATAGGTTCCCTAGGGGACCCCTTACCTCTCCCCCTTCTTTGCTCTAGTTACATCTTTTTCTCCTTTCTGTTTCTCAGAGATACCATGTCCTTCTTGCCCCTGGGCCTTTGCACCTCCTATTCTCCCACAGTCATTTTGTGCAGAGTGAAGCTAATCTTACCTCCAAAGATTCATCCTCAGACATTTCCTCAGTTGTCTCTAGGTGAATGAGTATTTCATGTTTCTTGTGGTGTTCTTTTTCTAGGTTTTTTCTGGCTTGATTCAAAAAGGTTTCATACTTCTCATTTCCTGTGGGATTGGAAGGTGAAGGAAATAAGGATGATTGGAAATATATGAATTATGCCTAAAACACAGACTGTCAGCTCAGGGTGCATAGAGTGAGAAGGGAAGTGAACTTTTTGGTGCTTCGTCTGCCAGGTTTTCTCTGCCTCAGAGGGTGATGTAGTTTGTGAGTGAGTTCAGTTTGGATCAGAAACCCCATGGAGAGGGGCGCCTGGGTGGCTCAGTGGGTTAAAGCCTCTGCCTTCAGTGCAGGTCATCATCCCAGGGTCCTGGGATCGAGCCCCACATTGGGCTCTCTGCTCAGCAGGGAGCCTGCTTCCTCCTCTCTCTCTCTCTCTGCCGGCCTCTCTGCCTATTTGTGATCTCTGTCTGTCAAATAAATAAATAAAAATCTAACAACAACAACAAAAAGAAACTCCATGGAGTTTAAGGAGATTATGCTGTAGTGAGCCCCCAACTGGTTCTCAAGAACTTGGTGGCAGTAATACCCTAAGTCACAGGGTGAGCAAGCAGATTCCAGCTTCCTTGGTGCTCTTCTGGGTCTAACACTAACACTGCATGACTTGGGAGCCCCCTCCATGCTGGACACACTCAGATGGCCCCGGTCATCCTTTAGGTCACTTTGCACGTTTATTAAATCCCAGCAAATCAAAGGATGATATTTGCAACTACAACTGCAACTTAACAGGTTTCAATTCCCCCAATCAGGGATGTAGGCAATCAGTGGAGAGAGTTCAGACACTCAAGTTCACCCATCGGCCAATGCGAATTCACATGCTTGAGGGATGAGGTAGGCAGAGAAAGAGAAGTGCGTACTCCGGGATAGTAGGAAGCATTGGACTTGTAACAAACTGGAACACAGGAGACCCAACTAGAAGTACATTCGGTACTCACAGTACTCAGATGGACATTCTCTGAAAGCCCTCTGCTGGCCAAACATGGCGACTGCCTTAACGAGGCCGGCTGGGAACCAGGTTTTCCACCCAGTGGCAAAGGCTTTCTGTCCTGACACTTCTCTGTGGAGCTGGACTAACTAACGTCTGGCTGGCAGGAACTCTAGATCCCAGAGTGTAACATGGTCTTAAATGGACCAACAGTTGTGCTCGTATTTTCAGGGAGCAGTCAGGATATAACGGATGATTGTCAATTGTGGCAGGTGAGCCAGTGACTTTGGGGCACAGGAGAGGGGGAAAGGCTGAGGACGAGGGCTCCATCTGAAGCCATCTGTGGAATGAAGATTTCAAGGAGCTTGAAGGAGTCACAGAGAAGGATGAGAACTTTGTCTTAACCCTTCACCTTGTACCCCATGTCAGGAAAAAAGAACCAGAGAATCCATGGCTAAGACAGCCGCTCAGCTGAGTTTTGGGATTTGCCACGATGGAAGTCTTTTGGTCTAGAGGGATGGCTCCAGGGGCTAGATGTTACCAGAGAAACCTTGGCTAAGGTGTGGGCAGACAACTAATCAAAGTCTAAATTAGCCACTAAACTGTGTAATGCCAAACCACAGAAGGGGTCAGAACCTTGGTTGCCTTTCTGTACAGTTTTTATTTTGTGATTTCTACTCCTTGGAGTAAAATCAGCCTTTTGCGTCAGTGGCCGTCTGTGAGCGTGCCACAGTGAGGACACTTCAGGGACAGACTGCAGCTGGAGGAAAAGGCCTTTCTAAGTGCAACTTCCTGATCCCTCTGGATTGCAGTTCCCCGATGGCAAAACTGGCCAGGGGTCTTAATTTTGGGACTCCCATGGACCTTATCCTGTCTCATTAAACTCAGGTCCCCGGGTCAATTTCAATTCGATTTTTTTTTTTTGTAATTGTGGAATCACACAGAAGGAAACTAGTGAAGACCGCTAAGCAAATAATGGGAGTGCCACTCAACCTTCGAATAAACAAAGCAGAATGCATCTTTTGTACCCCAGTGGGGAAATTCTATGGGGGTAGTAATACCGCGGAGTTTCCTGGGGAGATCGAGGCAGATTCGGGGGAAAATTCCCTCTCCACGCAGAGTGATGTTTTCTGGGTCCAGGTGTGCAATCTGTATCTGGAAACTCCTCTGAAAGACCTCAGGTACTCCAGGTAAGTAGTAAACCTTCAGCTCCTGCTCTTGATGTGAACTGATAAAACCCTACACAGCACAAAGACCAGAGAGAATGTTGATATTTACAATGGACCCTGCTTCTGGGACAGGACAGTCCCACAGGCCTGTTGTGCTGCTTACCCTCCGTTCAGTCACATGAAGATATGTGAAAATGACAAGCAAGAGAACAGTAGGTAGTCTATGTGAACGGGTATTTCATAAAAGAGGAAATATGAATGGGGAATAAATGCATTAAGAGAGACTCATCCTCTTAAACCATCAGGGAAATGAAACTAGGAACATGATGAATTTTTTTTAAATGACATATTGTCAAAAAGGACCAAATTTTGGTGAGAACATGTATCAAAAGAAACTTATATATGTCCAGTGGTAATGCCAGTGGTGAGGGGGAGGTAAAAAATACTGTGAAAAATCTTATCAAAATTGAACACATGCAAAGCCCATGACCCAGAAATTTAACTCCTAGGAAAATTCCCCAGGACAACGTTTCCAAATGTACACCAGGAGACAGGTATGAGAATATTTGTAGCAGAATTGTTTGTAACAGCAAAATTTTAGGGAAAAAAAAAATCCCAAATGTGCTCTGACAGGAAAAAGAAAGACTGCTTTCAATATAGTTAAAGAAGGGATATTATTTAATGGTGAAAATAAATGAACTATAGCTACATGCAACAATGTACGCTGGTCTTAGAAACACAATATTGAGTGAAAAAAAAAGCAAAAGGCACAAGATGCCATTACCAGTGCTATTTTCATAAAACTCTAGATAAAGATAATTTGATAAAGCAAAATGTCCAAGTTTTCGGATCAAGTATATTTGTCTGTTTTGTTTACTATGCCATGCCATCCCCAGTGGCAAGAAAGTGCCTGGTCATAGCGGGTGCTTAAAAGTTTGGAAAAATTCATAAACTAAAAGCAGTTTAAGGATGCACCCAGGAGTAATAAAACTGTAGTTTAAAAAGGAAAGAGTAAGCCCAAGTGGGGAGGAGGCCCCTGGCTTCAAGGAATTACAAGGGAATTGTGAGGTTGTGAGTGGAAACAAACCATTCTTATAATCATGAAAAAAAAAAAAAAAAAAGAAAAAAAAAACCAAACCATTGGGTTAGACTCTCTTGTTCACAGAGGAATCCCTGGTGCCTGGGCAGTGCCTGGCTCATGCAAAACTCAATAAATCCTTGCTTAATAAATGAGTAAAGTGCTTGGATTGATTGATTGATTGTTTCTGAGAACTCTTTATTTGTTGTTAAAAAGAAAATCACACCCATCATCCTGGCAGTGAATGTCTAACATAATCCCACATTCCACAGGCGTGTGGCTTGCAGGTTTGAACTTGGGTCCTCCCTACCATTGCCCCACAGCCATCGAAGGCAAGGAGGCTACTTACCGAAACGGGCAGGATTAGGGGCACCCCAGGCAGAAGGTGGTCTGGTGAAGACAGGTGGTCAGTCAGAACCTTGAACTCAAAGCCAACTTTGCCAGTGTTCCTCAGTGTGATCTCATTCTCTGAGATGTGGTCGAACAGCTGGAGATGAGAAGGAGAGGGGCTGACGTCAGCCACCCTTTGGGATGCTGCTATTATCCTGGCAAAGGGCGGTGGACAAGTAAGCCTCACAGACACAGATTTCATTCTCATGATCTAGACGCTGGCCAATCCATATTTTACTGTCACCAAGGTGGTCCCTGGGGCGGGAGGAGCACCAGACCCTGGAAGCCTGGCTCCACGTTAGCTCTACCGACGACAAGTTCAGGTTAGCGGGGCCACATGTGAGGGTGTCTAACTGTCTGCACCACAGAGACTCATAATGGAGGATCTTAAAAGTAAACTTTCCCATATTAATATTTATTTTTTGGATGAGGTTTGCATTCAGAATTCGGATTTTTCTATTTATATGGAGAGACATGGTGCAATTGGCAAAACATACTCTTTTTTCTTGAGATTTTACTAACACAGCTCAGCAGCTAATCAGCAGGGCCAATAACCACAGACTGAGGCCACTTTGGGGGTTCTTGGGATAAGTTAGGGGAAGAACTGTCTGTTTCAAAGAATACACTCTAAGCTGAGCCAGAATTACTTGCCCAGAAGACTCTGGAGAATGAAAGAGACTTCCATTCGGCCAACCCAGTGGACAAAGTCTCAACATGAGTCAGGTGAATTGCTTCTAGGCACAATGTTTAACCTATAAACACACGCACACCCACAATTCAGTAATTCTACATGCAGGAGCTGTATAATGGGGGGGTGTCTAATTCCCATTATAATTTGGTAGGAGATATGGTTTCTGAATACATAATACAAATCTAATTGGGAAAAGAAGGTGTACAGACATAGAATTAACAATTATTCTAAACCAAAAACTAGAATGTACATTATTTAATGGCAAAGAATATACCTAAATGCTAAGAGAATGTGAAGTAAGAGGAAAAAAAGTAGAGGATGGAGGGGGGCTGAGTCTGATAGTTTGTGAGACTTGGGGTTGGCAGAGTAGACAAGAGGGATAATATAAGAGGAAGTATTGGGGCAGGGAGGGCTGGGAAGTAGTAGGGTCGGCGTGTAAACTAGTTTGGTCACAAATGGATGAACGGGCTTGAAGGGGAAACTGTAATAAATGAAATTTAATCTATAAGGAGCATCAATTAATAGAGGGGCTTAGGAGACCCTCACCCAGGTAGAAGAGCTTGACTCTGATCCAATGGGTGACAGAGAAAGGGCCTCAGGATTGGAGGCTTCCCTGCCCCATGCACAGGACTGCCCAGATACTTTACTTAAATGACCACGACCACCTAGGAGACAGGCACTACCACCCCCTTCTTACTTTATAGACAAGGGGCACTGTGGCTTGGAGAGGTCTTGATATGTTCAAGTTTCCGAGTAGGAAGTCAGGCTGGGGTGACATCCCAGTTCTTCTGACTATAAAACCACACTCCTTTCTCAATACTATCTTGCTTTCCCAAATGCTGTTGGAGTTAACTGTTGTGGGACTTGAGAAGATGAAAATGCAGGTTTGGGAAAGTCTGTGTAGCAGTGCTGTGTAGACGGGTTGGTGGCGGAAGCGAGGAGTGCGGTGTAATCCCTTCTTCCGTGGGGTCCTTGGCCTCACCTGGGAGCTTGACAGAACTGCTTGAGAGAGTCATCTTTCTCGAGGCCCCACCCCAGACCTACTGAATCAGAATCTGCCCTGGAAGCAGATTCCTGGGGGACTCATGCACACGTTATGGGTTGAGCGGGACTAACTACTGTCCTATCTCAGGACCGGCATGAGAAGCCCCAGAGCCCTGAGAACCTCAGTAGCCATGGGAAGGGCACACTGATGCCTAGGGATTCTACTAGATGAGTTCGAAAGCCCCGATGCCGGTAAGGATGGAGAGGCGGTAGCGAGTAGCGAGAGCTCAGCGGCAAATGCCTTGGAGATGGTAAGCTTAAGGGGCTGAGAAGGTGATGGTACTGTTGGAAGAAAAGCAGGGGTCGGCGTGGGCTTCTGGATTGCAAGGGAAGGGATTTAACATGAATTCCAGGAGACAGAGAAGCAGGTGAAAAATGCCTGGCCAACAGCGGGCGGTGAGATGATCAGGTTTAGGGAGGCAGATCAGGGATCAAGGTTGGGGTGGTGGCGAGACTGTGAAGATCCGAGGTTCCAGGAGACGTCAGAGCACAGAACTGTGTGCGATGTTTGAGGAGAAACCGGGAAGTCCCCTCCCTGTAGTTGGCAATACCTGTAACCCATAGTTAATATCCTTGGTGTCAAAGGAATAGTTGACCAGGGAAGCCTCTCCCTTCAGCAGTATCTCATAGGTGGGCCCTCCTTCCACTTCGCACAGGGCTTTAGCCTGTGCAATGATGTCACAGTGTCCGTAGAAGGTGAATGACATCTGATGGCTACTGTGCGGCTGCAGCACTCCGTACAGGGGCAGAATATCAAACACCTGGAACACCAAACACCGGTAAGTCACCCTGCGGGAGGGCCTCAGCCGGGATGAAGGTAGGGTAAGCTTTAGTCAATTTACGGGTTAATTCCTGACCTTATCTTGTTTGACCCCGTGAAAGGTGGCTCGCCCAGCACCCTGCATGTAAGTCATGACAGTCAGGGGCACAGTGGTCTGCCAAGGTTTACGTTTCCAACTTGGGGCAGGGGCTCAGCAAGCAGAGTCAGTCTCAAGTGACTTCAGGGCCCAGAAGGTGTTACTTACTTCTTCGATCCCGATGGAAAATATTTCTTCCCGCTCCAGGATCCATGGGGGTTCCTGAACCTCCACCTGGCTCGGGTTTGGGTCTGTTTTTTCTGTTTCATCAGAGTTGAGGTTTAATCCCTAGAAATTAGAGGTGTGGGGAAAAGCTAGCAAGCATTCATGACAGGTCCTCCATGTGCTGCTCCCCGCTCAGTGACAGAAAACTGAAGTATATTGTTCATACCTTAAAAATGGCACATTTTTCCCCCTACAGAGATCAATGGACAAGTGCCCAAAATACATGTATAAGGATGTGCACTGCAGAACTCCTTAAAACAGCAAAACTTTGGAAGCAAATGAAATGCCTATCAATGGGGGATCACTTCAAATGGAGAGGGTGTGGCACCTGCATCCACGGAGGATGACTCAGTGTATATTTCGGAACTGGGAATCAAATGCACAACATATTATGGAGTGAAAAAGCAGTTCCACTTCTGTACAATTGCATGCACCCAGGGATCACACCTGAAGGTATAAGCATGTGCAAATTCATTCAGAGATCAAACAGTTAGCTGGGAGGTTGTCTGCTGAAGTTGCGGTAGCACTTTTCCATAAGTGGTGGCATTGTGAGGAAATTATTGCTTTCATTTTTCTGTATTGTTGAGTTTTCTGGGACAAACCTCTTTGAACATAGAAAAAAGAAAACATATAAAAGACAACTGTTTTACATATACACATGTATTCTAAAAATCTGGAAAACACAGAAAGCTTCAAAGAGAAATATAAATCAATTACTAAGTTACACTAAGTTATACGTATATATGTGTGGGCGTATAATGTGTTTATATAAGGGTATGTGTCTGTGTTCTGACTTGTCAGTTGATAAGAGTGCTGCCATCCATGTGACTAAATATTCTTCCCAAGGATCACCTAACATACTTTTTAAAAATAGAACATGTAGCCAACAGGTACATGAAAAGATGTTCATCAGCACTCGTCATCAGGGAAATGCAAATCGAAACCACAGTCGGTTCTTACCTCACCTCTGTCATAATGGCTGCAGTCAAAAAACACAAGCAACAAGTGTTGGTGAGAATGTGGAGGAAAAGGAACCCTTGTGCGCTGTTGGTGGGAAGGCAAACTGGTGCAGACAATGGAAAACAGCGTGGAGGTTCCTCAAAAAATTAAAAATAGAATCGTCATATAATCCAGTAATTCCACTACTGGGTATTTACCCAAAGAATATGAAAACACTAACTCAAAGGGATAGATGCACCCCCATGTTTACTGCAGCATTACTTACAATAGCCAAATTATGGACGCACCCAAGTGTCTACTGATACACAAATGGATAAACAAGGGGGGGGGGAGATATATACCACCAATGGAATATTACTCAGCCCTAAAAAAGAATCACATTTTGCCATTTGCAGCAACATGGAATGACCTAGAGAGTATAATGCTAAGGAGGTCAGTCAGTCAGAGAAAGGCAAAAACTATCTGATTTCACGCATATGTGGAATTTAAGAAACAAAGCAATTCTACAAAAAAAAAAAAAAAAAGAAGAGACAAACCAAGAGGCAGACTCTTCACCACAGAGAACAATCAGGTGGTTCCCAGAAGGGAGATGGGTGGGAGGATGGGTGAAACAGGGGATGAGGACAAAGTGCACACTTCACATGACGAGCACTGGGTCATGAAGAGACTTGTTGAGTCACATAGTGACAACATAGTGTGCAACCCACATCGTTGGGTCACTATGTTGTACACCTGAAGCTGATGAACACTGTATGCTAACTCTATTGGAATTAAAATAAAAAATAAATACAGAACATGGATTTATTTTTACTCAATATATCAGAGGCTGCTCTAAATCAGTATTAGAGAACTTCCTCATTTTTTTAAAAAAAGATTTTTAATACTCTGGTTTTTCTTCAGACCGCATAAATCTTTTGCCTTTTTTTTTTTTTAAGATTTTATTTATTTATTTGACAGACAGAGATCACAAGCAGGCAGAGAGGCAGGCAGAGAGAGAGGAGGAAGCAGGCTCCCCGCTGAGCAGAGAGCCCCATGCGGGGCTCGATCCCAGGACCCTGAGATCATGACCTGAGCTGAAGGCAGCGGCTTAACCCACTGAGCCACCCAGGCGCCCAATTTTTGCCTTTAAAAAAAAGATTTTCTAGTATTGCTTTGTGCAGCTACAATTTGGTTTATTTAGCAAGTCTCCTACTATGGAGTAAAGTTGTTTTCAATTTTTCTTACTTTTACCACCAAAGCTTCAGTGTACAAGGAGAGTCCATGTCTACGAGAGCATAAAGGCGTATCCAGAGAAGAGTATCCTAGCAGAACAATTGTGCATTTTAAATTTTGATACACTCTCCAAATCATATTTCATGGAGGCTATGCCAGTTCATAATTACCTACAAAGCATGAAAATGCTTGCTTACTCCCACTCTGCCACTACGGAGACAAACTCTATTTTATTTTTATTTTTTAAAAAAGATTTTATTTATTTATTTGCCAGAGAGAGAGAGAGGGAAAGAGGGAACACAAGCAGGGAGAGTGGCAGGCAGAGGCAGAAGCAGGCTCCCCGCTGAGCAGGGAGCCCAATGTGGGACTCAATCCTAGGGCCCTGGGATCATGACCTGGGCTGAAGGAAGACGCTTAACCTACTGAGCCACCCAGATGTCCCAACAAACCCTATTTTAAAAGATTTTATATTGTTCATGGAGATATGCTAATTTATTTTTCCAATTTTTTTTTGCTATTTCTAAAGTGTTGTGACAAACATCGTTGTACCTAAATCTTTATATCTCCAATGATTTCCTTAGGCCATCCTTCTAGAAGAATTTAAGGGTATGAATTTTTAAAATCCCTTGCTCTCCCCTTTGTTTTCACTATGGGATGACTGAGGAGAATCTTTCTCCTTTTGTAGGCTCTATCTAGGAGCTGGGAAGAATGCCTTGGGTTACAGATAACCAGCTTGTTCATTAAAGAGAAAAATCTATGTGCTGAGGTGTGTGGCTCTCAGTGGGATGCTGGCTCTGGGGGTGTTCGTTTGGGAAGTGACCCGGATGACATTCCCCAGCCTCATCCCACCCAAACCCCAGCATGACACTTGCCATTGCTCCTGCCTCTGTTTTTCCTTTAGAGTAAGGACCCTCGGCTTGCCAAGACATGCTGTGGACTGAAAACTGTACATCGGAGATGACCACGGTGGGCACTTGTACTTTCTTGTTTTCTCTTTCTTCACACCCGACACCAGTCCTGGAGAGTTGAATGAGATGTGTTGAATAACTCATTTAGCAATCATCACAACACGGTATTCAGCTACGTTGTAGACCCACCTTCCTCTCTCCCCTATTGCACCCCAAAAGATAAGTGGGTTCTCACTCAAAGGATGCTTTTCTCAAGAGGCCAGCTGGGCAGTGCTGTTACTCCCTGCCCTCAAACATGGACTCTGGGACATCAGGCTGGCCAATTTTCCATAGACTCCAACCCTTCTTTCCTGGCCTACTGAGCCTATGTCCAAATTATGAGAAATTCTGGGAAGCTCTAGCAATTCTCCAGACAATTTGCTGTGTCCCCAGAGCTCCATGTTAACTTCCGTTATTTACTGGAGCATTTTATTGTGAGGATATACTGTTTGGCCAATTGCCATATCCTTTTTAGCTTGCTACACTTGACCTGACCCTGGCTGCAGACCTTGGATGGATGGAGAGAGCAGTGTGATGGGAAGGGCTTAGTCCTCCAGGGCTCAGGAGGCTGTGACTTCCTGGGAGCAGAAATGATTTTCTACTCTATCCCAGAGGCACAGTCGAGGGCGTCATGCGCAGAAAGCCCTCACTAAAATGTTGACTAGTGAGTGGCCAGTTGAATAAATAAGGGATGAGTTTGAGAACGTAAGTCAGTGTGGAGGAAAGAAATTGCTATTTTAAAAACCCCATCTGGCTTTGCATTTGCACTTACTTAACAAAATCGTTTAGATCCATCTCGGGGGACTCTGTCGCTGGCACTGCTTGCGAGCTGGCATAAGTCGAGGTGAGTGGGATGGACTCCGCCTGGGACAGGGGGCCAGTGTAGGCCTTCCTCGGCCATGACACGAACCTACAAAGGCAGGGGGGGCCATAGGCACGCGTCAGCTTTTCCCAGGCTGTGCTCAGTGGGAATTTATAGTGCAGGGTCAAGCAGAGACAAGTAGCGCAAATGGTCGGTTATCCAAATCTACCAAGATTCTGAAATCAAAGGAACGTTAGTGAGCGGAGGGGCCTGGCTCCTTTTCCAGCTGTATGGATGACAGTTGGTTACTGCAGATCACAGCCTCTGAGGCGGTGCCTCTTAGAAACAGATGCATCGGCAACCAAAGCTTAAGTCAGGGGCTTGCGTTCCGAAGAAAGAACCAGCCACCACCACCTGTCAGGGCTGCACTGTACCTCCACCCAAACCCCACTCACCCCACTCCCTAAAACCTTGGAGAAGAGCACAAAATCTCCTTTTGTCTTCTTCCATGAGCTTCCGTTGCGGTTTATTGTGGGCCAGATGTCTCAAGTTGACGTTCTCTTACACTGAAATCACACCATTTTTGACTAAGGGTCCATGTTGGGCTGGGTGCTGGAAAGCTCAATAAAATAAAGATTCCTGAACCCCATTCTTGGGTGAATTCTGATTCAGCAGGTCTCAGACAGGGCCCAGGAGCGCAATTTTTAACAGCCTTCCCAGGTGATTCTAATGTATAGCCAGATTTGGGACGCACGGTGGGTAGGAATGGCATCACGATGGCTAAGGACTGGCACTGATAATTAATAGGAGGCTAGCACTCAGGCTTCCCAGCAAGGGCCAGTGCTGATGAGCAGAGGACGATTCCAAGCACTCATTAAATCACCCCAGGTCAGCAGAGATGCCCAGGGAGACTCGGCTGAGCTGCCCCACATAATAGCACTCTCTCATCCAACATTTGCGCACTCCTGGGATGTTGTGCTGCACGGGGAAAAAAAAAAGTGCCTATGGGAATATCTGTAAAGGAAAAATTCAATGCTGTAATGTGTCTGCAGACCTGAGGACAAACAACACCTCGGTGGATCGTGATACCTGAAGAATTGGAAGTGAGAGGTCTCTGGAGACAAACAAAGGAGCCTGGGAGAGTGGCCCCACTGCTCACATACGAAGCCATAAGGAGACAGTGAAGCCTCTGTCATAGTGAAGGCTTTAATTTATCCTTCAAATAAAAAATCTGCTCCAAAAAAACTGAAATAGAATGTTGGTGGTTTGGGGGATCAGATTTCATTTTACCCTCAGGAACAGATGATTACTTTCCTGTTATACTGACCCCAAGAGGATTAGGTTCAGTTATTTTTAAAAGAGCGTACATAGCAAACAAGGAAAATCAATATTGCTCCAATTCCAGAGCTCCCCATACAAGCATCCCCAGAGAAGCCAGGAAAGAAACCCTCCCTTTAGCTGGGACAGATCACATGGACGTCGGACACCCTGTCCGTCAGCCACACTGGTTTGGGCCCCGAGGCTTCCCCTCCTCCTATTTTATTTTCAACTCTTGGGTAAGTTAGGATTGATAACACTCTTTTGTGCTGCAGACTTTAAAAGTGCTCCAGTCTTTTTTGCTCTTCTCCCTTCACCGGAAGCACGGATAACGGCTCAAACATGTTTGTTTCAGTTGAGATGCTGTGCCGTGGTCCAGGTGATACGCGGAGACCGAAGGGTGTGTGTTGGTTGCGTGCTGGCATCGGGGCAGGCAGCCACGGTCTCCGGGTGGCTGGGGGGCATGTGTGGGGTGGGGAGCAGCCTTGCAGGAGACACAGTGACCTCTAATCTAGTGATTCATTGCACCTGGATTCTGGGAGTGTGCCTACAAAGGGTGAAAACCACCCCTGACTGGACTAAAGGTATTTGTTTGGCTCATGTGTTGCCATATGTATGGATATACACACTGACAGCTGTAGCTGGCATACTGTTACACCTCTCTCACCAGAACGATGCCCCCACTCACTGGAAGCTCTGGGTGTCGGCTGCCCCTTTCTCTGGCTCGTTGATAGGAATTGCCTTCCCTGACCCTGAGATGCCTGGAAGGTTATGCCCTCCCTCCCCTTAGGGTGCCGCCTGCTGGCTAGGATAGCTAGATGAGAGTGAGGGCTCTGACTGGGACAGACTCAGAGGCAATTTACACTCCAGAGCTCTCCACGGGGTCGGGCAGATGCCCTAGTTCTCCCCTTGCCCTAGCTCATTTTTCTTACTCTCTCACAGTTTCTCCGGAGAGCCTCCCTTGATAAGCACCTGCTCAAGAATCAGCGTCTCCGACTCCGTTTCTAGGGAGACCACCGCAGCACTGCATGCTTATCAAAGATCAGAAAGCCAAATCTTGCTTCAAGGGACCCAGAGGCCAGTGGGTCAGGGTCAGAGACATAGGGACAGGTATCATTCAGAATACGAGTGCTCCAACAGCAAGACGAGTGGAGTGCCCAGTGATTCAGTTCAAGGCCGGGGGTGGGAGGGGTCAGACAGCCTGGGTTTGAACTCTGGCTTCCCCGTTCACACACTATGTCACCTGGCTACTATGTCGGTGATAGAGTCCGCCTCACCTGATTGTTTGAGGCTTACACTGGACCCTCAGCAGGGTGCTTGAGTCAGGGCAGAAGTCCAAGGCGCTGAGCTGCTCTCGTGTTCAGCTGACTGGGGAACACCTTCATTGTTGGAATTCAGATGAATTCCCTCCCTGCCTCCCTCCCTTCCTCTAACTCCACTCATCACAAGCCTGCTCCATATTAGACTGGCCCCTGTTTTCTATCTCTAAGTGGAGACTGTAATCATTGCTTTAAGTCAAGTGAAAAGTAGGCAAGTTCCTGAGCCCCTCTAGGCACAAAGTCCCAACCATGTTTCCTTATTTATTGCCTGGCTTTGTAGTCTTACAGTTGCTGAACCTCCCACATCGGGAAGCAAATGACAGATGGGGCTGGCTCAGTGCCTTCCCTACCATCTCGTCCCAGCTCTGGTACATGAGAAAGGGAAGTAAACTGCAGACACATACCCATTATGAAAGCAGCCTGCCTTAGCCCTTTGACTTGATTGTGTCCCAGAATGCTTCCAACTGGTTACCTATGCTAAGGGAGATATTGGCAGAACATCAATGAGTAGCCAAAGTTCAAGCTTTCACCCCCCAGACCTTTGGGGGTAAAATCATATTTTTAAAGGTTCTCGAAAGGAGTTGCAGTTGAAGCTTCTAGAACAGTGGTTCCTCCTGCAGCTGTCCATTGGAATCACGTGCCGAACTGTAACATCAGCTGATGCCCGAGTCCCAGCTGCAGAGAATCTGATTCACTTCGAGTCAGGATACTTAAAAGCTTCCAACATGATTCTGCTGCGCACTCAAGGCCAAGTACCAAGGACAAAGAAGATGGTGGCAAGAAGGTCGCAAAAATTGGTCATCAAACAAGAGCCTTCTTGCTATGGTCTGAATGTTTGTGTCCCCCCCAGATCTTGTATGCTGGGATCCTAACCTGTAAGGCGATGATATTAGGAGGTGGGCCCGCTGAGAGGTGATTATGAAGTGGAAGCTTCATGATGGGATTCATGCCCTTATCCAGGAGAGCCCGGAGAGCGAGCTCGGCCCTCCCACCTTAAGCATCCAGCAGAAAGACACCATCGGCAAACCAGGAATCAGTTCTCACCAGACACCAAGTCTGTCTGCGTCACCTGCTGGGCTTCTCAGCCTCCGGAACTGTGAGAGATGGATGTGTGGTGCTTGGATTGGTACAGCATCCAAACAGACTAAAACAGGCCCGAGGAAGGTACCTGCAGCCAACACAACTCATCACTTACTCTCTACCAGGTACTATATGAAACACTCGATAAGGTCTGCCTGATTAAATCTTCACAACAGCTCAATGAGGTAGGTACTGCGATGGTCCTCGGTCTTCAGATGACAAAATGGAAGCTCAGAGAGCCAGTAAGTTAGCCTGGCTCCAGAGCTCACTCTTCACCAGTTTGCTGGACAGTCCACCTCCTTAATGGGTAAGGGCTTCTCCTTGGTTACGTCTGCCACGCCAGGCCCATGACTCACAGGCTTTTCATTTTAGGGGTAATTGAAAGCCACAACATAGAGAACAATGTATTGTCTAGAACCCTTCTTTTGGACGATGAAGGTTCCATCCTGATTGTAATCTAGGTAAGGAAAAGCCAGCCACATTTGACCTTGCCTTGAAGTGACTTCCCGCAGAGTTTTGCTGCAAGGTGACTGGTGGAGGAATGTACCCAGATCTCCCTGACGCTCTCCAGAGAGATTTCTGTGAGAAATGGCCACTTCTATAAAAGCTCCAGAAGGTGTCCCCACTGCTACATACTCTTCGAAAGACAGCAGAACAGGTAGGCAGGCTGTGAAATCGCCCTTGTAATCCGTTTCAGAGCCCTTTAGAAATACTTTCAAAACAGGATGGTTTTTTTCAAGTTGATTTCTTTTAATGTTGGGTCTTTAGGAGAGGTAGCTAGCTGTGGGGCATTTTAATTAAAATGAACACATAGATAAGTAGGCTCTTTTAAAGAATCAGATCACTAAATGAACGAAGCAGACATAGCCCTAACTCAGGCTCAAATACGCACGGACGCTTTCCACTGATTTCTTTAGAAGCCAGCTTTGCTCACACCGAACATCTACGAGGCTGATACCCTCCGCCAGCGCTGGAGGCACTGGGAAGATGCCTTAAAAAGAACGAATCTATAATAAGGTGACTGGAGTTCTACTGTTGCAACATTAAAGCAGGATGAAAAGTTTCATAACACTCAAAACTGAAATAAAAAACAGCTCAGTTCATTTCTCGATGGGGTAACGTATGTGGTATCTCAGGAAATTGGATGAAAAGGCGGCAAACAGAAGGAGACAACAGGATCCCTTCCACTGATCACCTTAAGTTAAATATGAAATGAGCAAAAAGCCCACCCTCTTCAAAGCTCTCCTTCAAAGGCTCTTGGCCTTGATCTCTTGCAGACCCACTACACAGGAACTTGTCTCTGGAAGCTCAGACTTGAGAGATGGCTACAGTCTTCCCATCAGTCCCAGAGGCTAATCTGACCCCTGGGTCAGATAAATTCACTGGCCTATC